CCGTTCATTGATACTGCGTCTTATAATCCGGTGCGCCTTATGGTCCGAAAAATACGGTAACTCAGTTTCCATTTCTATGCTACACGTTCGTTCGCTTTCTAACCCATTCGAAATTTTTCTAGGTAAATCGTTGGCTTAATTGGCTTGCAACCGCCGAAGAAGAAGAAGACGAGGAAGACAACGAGACTAAATTGGCTGGACGAACTAACAAGGAGAACGCCGTGCACTCACCTGAACTCAGTCAATCTGCCGTCTCGACAGACACAGCTCCCACGCGCTCTTCAGATTTGTGTTCAGACGAACTTTCGGATGCGCTAACGACAGCCGAAATGGATGCTATCCGCGCTTCGTCATTTAACACTAACGGTGGCACTGGTGAGAGCATCGCGAACGGGCCAGGCGAATCTTTAGCCATGCTTGTGATGCAACAGTAAAGTAAGGAGCCACCTGGAAGTGTGTGCTGACTTGTTGACTCATCTACTCACAATGACTCATTCTTGCCAAAGGAGCGGACACGATCTCATTCGTTTGTCCCTCTTCCAAGCCATGTGAAAACAGTCGATTGCTGTAACTGTGCGACATTTGTCCACATGTACTCTTCGTTTCCTTGACCTATGTAACGTTATCTGGGCGCACCAAAGACTGCCAAAACCGTCTTGTTTGCCACTACCAACATCGTGATCACCAAAACGATTCAACGAAAACAACGGGCATTTTGTCAATTCTTCTTCTACAGCTTTCTCTCTTCTCTGTGTGCTTTCATCCTGTTCCATCTCTTTCTGTTTACCTGTATTTTAGTGTTCTTATCAAAGATTATGGTTTATTCACAGTATTCGGTTACCTTTTCCGTCTCTACTGGTTTATTGCTCTTGTCTTGTTTCTTCTGAACTTGTTGGCTCATGCGTGCGCACAACTATTCCTTTCTGTCGTTTTCTTCCTCCCGTGTACCCGTTCGCATGCTTGCGTGCCAATTTTCGTACGATCGTCTATTCTGTTGCCTTTTCTTGTTCGATTAGCTGCCACATTTCTTGAAGTTTTGTCATCCGTTAGTCTTCTTTCACTTTGAGGGTGTACGTGTGTGTTGAGTGCTTGTGTTTTCTCGTGTCACATGCTCCAAGTATGTATCTATCATTTCTGCCTACCTGTCTCAATCCATCTATTCATATTCTATCTCGGCTCATTAAACGCATCGAATTGAATTTACCGTCTCAAGATCAATCATTTTACTTTGATTTGGGAATGCATAACTGCCACCACAGGTTGTTATACCCGGACGTCACATCGTCCTGCCCTGTTTTTGCCCACAACGTTGTCGCATCTCATTAATTGTTTCGTATTGATCGTAGTGTCCTTACGGCACATAGGGCAATAGTCTGCGTGGCTAGCAGGCCGATTTTAAGTTTGCTCGGTTCCAGCAGCCGCCTGTTTCGTGTTTCCAGGGTCGTTCTTTCCTTGTGGAACACAAATAGTGCAAAATATGAAACTGGAAAGCAATAAAAGCGGTTTCAACCAGCACTGTGAATCTCATCAGGTTCAGGTTCTTCCAAAAACAAACCAATTATATGCAGGAGCGACGCCCGTGCACTGCGAATTAGTCTGGCTGTTTGTAGTAGTTGACCTCGGTCAACCTCTTTGTTTTACAAGTTAGGTGAAACCCTCTGCGGATGGCTTATTCCTAGCCTGCGGTATGTAGATATCATCCGGCGCTTTGAATCGATTAATTCTCCCAATACTTGTTCGGTCGCATCACAGCCTGTCTTTGAACACCCTCTTGATGTATTGTTGTATTCGTCTTCTACCCAAACTTCTTAATTCAGGCCACCTCATTGTGTCGCTATGGCGAGATAGCCCCGACCGAGATTACTCGTTGGTTTGTCTTTAGCACCAGAACTGGCTGAGCATCTCAGCTCGGCAACCTGAATACAGTCGATCTATTGCACGTACCTGTACGTCCGCTCAATGCCGATATGGGGCTGATTCACCCAGGGTAGCGATCTTCACGACTTGGATATACAGTTCGGTTAGAAGAACGCTTTCATTTGGTTTAGTCTGTAAACCAGACTCAATGGGAATATGAAATAGTAGTTATAAAGGCCATCCCANCCATCCCAACAGCACTCTATTAACGTTGAGTTGATCAACCCGGTTAAACTCTCCGTGTACGTGGTCGCACTACAGTCCTATCCTGGAACCTTCGTCCCTCGGATCACTTCTAACTAATTGATTAAAATCGTAAAACTTGACCCAATTTTTCGCTGCTATAAACAAATTTTTCATTACTTCTATATATCAGTTTTGAAGTCAAGAGAGGACTTAGATCAGGAATGCCTATTGTTCCTTGCCCATTGAAAAGAAAATACAGGTTTTGGTGGGGGGGAATGCCTTAACAGAATTATTCTGGGGATGTGATGCGAATGAACTGTCGTACTATGGTGGCGTTCGGGTCACAAAGTGTACTCCACTGCGCCATGTTATCGCTTCAGGTTTTTTTTATTCACTCGTCTGAATCCAGACTGTGTCAAACAGATCATGATACGATAATCTTTGTAAAAAGAAAATCGTTCCACGATTTGCATATGAGCGGAACACTGCCAGGTTGCCCAGACCAAGGCAGCTGAATTTTCTTGAGGAATCCACAACCGGAGCTTTTGGCTAGCCAAAGGCTCCGGTTGTGGATTCCGCTTTCCGCGATCGGCGAAAAAGCGAAACAAAAGGAGCACCAGATGCATAGACGTCTCAGGCTTGGGGGGTACGTGAGTGGGTTTGTCAGTCGTGCCGATGCTCTGTCATTTGACCCGGTTCCGTCGGGATGGGTTTAAAATGAACCGTGACTGAGCATCCCACTCAGTCGGATTTCCGGAGGCTGACCAGCCTCAACTCTAGACACCCACCCCCGACCATAATGGGGGTTTTGGAGGCTCACTTCAGGGTTGCCTGACGGTAACTGGATTCAATCCTCCGCCTGGCCTTTCAGCGCAATCACCACCAATGTATGGCTTTCCAGTACGTAGATTTCCACCGAATCTTGAACTTGGTGCGGAATCGTGAGATCCGACAAGATAGTGGGGAATTCTTTATTCCTGCAGTAGATGTATCCAAAACAGTTGTTGCTATTCTTGAACAGAACACGTTCGTCCTGCGCAATGCTGGCTATACATGCATCAAACCTCAGGGAAAGGGCACGATATGTTTTATCTTCCATTGGATTTTCTTTCAAACTACGAATAATGGTAATTACTTGCCACTCATTTGTATTTCACGAAAGTTATGGGTTGAGAAAGGGAGGTATGAACCTTGTCTAAAAAACTTGGTTGAGTTCCAGTGAATTCATCGAGTTTGTTTTCAAATCAAATTCCCGACGTATTGGAAACATGACACTTTTATAGTATCGCATCATAGATAACAGTTATAGGTCAAATAATTAGTAAAATATTGTTATTGTTAGTTGTTGTAACATCGTTAGGATTGGATTTCTGTTGTCCATCTCGTAACAATGGTCAACTAGACGTTGAAGTTCAGTTTGAAAATTTATATTCACAAACCAGCTCTTCAGTCGCCACGAACCAGCAAGTAATTGATGATTTCAAAGCTTCACTCGCAGACTGTGCTTATCAGTATCGTAGGATGTATAAAGTCACAAAAGTATCCTAAACAGCCAACACAAGGCGCTAAGAAAACTGAAGCTGAACAAGGATATTGCCATTGCAAAACCTAACAAATGCTTCGGTGTCGTACTGTTGGACCGTGCGGACTATATCAATAAGATGAATAACATCTTGGGAGACACCACGAAATTCCTAAAAGTAGACGGAGAGAGGAATAAAACGAACACGGTAGAAGAAAAGATAACCGCTTCACTTAAGTCCCTGAGGGATCAGAATATCATCTCTAAAGCAGCATACGAAGTGCTGAGACCAACAGGAACCTCTATCCCTCGTCTTCACGGTTTACCTAAAGTTCATGAATCGGGGGTACCTCTAAGATCGATTTTGGACATGAGCGCCTCTCCTTATCATTCGGTTGCCCAATGGCTTGTGGATGTTTTGGAACCTGTTCGCAGACAGATTTCACACTACAGTATGAGCGATACATTCCAATTTGTGGAACTTATGCGCAAACGAAGCACGACTGGTTTGTCTATGGTATTAAATGTGACATCGTTGTTCACCAATGTTCTTTTGGGGGAAACAAACTATTTCTAAGACTACATCACGGTCAATGAGATAAACATTGGTATTCCATTGGCTAACTTGAAGGGGTTACTACTACGCTGTACCTTCAACGTTCAGTTTAGCTTCATGGAGCATTGTACAGGCACACGGACAGAGTAGCAAAATTAGAAAACCATGAACTCCGAGATACCGTAGAAGGTTTACCATTCTGTTAACGATTCACGTTAACGATATTTTCATATTAGTTGACGAGAATATACCGTTGCGAACACTGACCAGCACGTTTAACCGAGCGCACGACGCGCTCTATTATACATCGAAAATGGAACGGCCAACGCATTCCATTTTCTGTTTGTTCTTCTTACCAAGCGCTCGGACGGTACAATTAGTAGAGCGGTCTACAGGAGACACACATGGACAGGTCAATCCACACATATCGCCAGTTTTGTACCTTTGGGGCGTAAGCGAAACCTCGTCCGATCCCTAGCTGCTCGCGTCAGAAATATATGTTCAGCAGAAAACCCGGAGTTAGAATTGAACCGTCTCAGGCAAGCCCTACTGAAAAATGGCTATCTCAAGAGATTTATTGAAAAGTATCTATGTGAAAGAGCCAAAAGAACAACGGTGACCACAGTAAGCCAAAAGCAAATCTGTATACGTCTCCTGTTCAAATGTGACTACAAATGCAATGTTAACAAGACGCCTAGATAAGTCGGTCGGGTGAACGTTTCCTGTGGCCCAGTTACGTACACAATTCACCAGCCGATCTTTGTTGTCATTGAATCTCAAAGATAAATTGCCTATCCTCACTTCCTCCATGTTGACCTATTCTTTTGTGTGCTCATGTTCGGCAGGCTACATAGGTAGGACGATCAGGCAGTTTACTTAAAGAATCAAGGAACACAAACACACAAACCGACTTGGTTAAACACAGGAACCACAAGAACAGTTTCGAGTGCAATCACGGCGCACCTCGTAGATACCGGACATCAGATAACTGAAGATGCGTTCAAAATTATCACAAGGTACTCCCAAAACCCTCCGACAGTGCCGTCTTGC